TACGATGCCGGCGAAACGTCTTAAAATGTACCATGTCCACTGTCTGATGCTGGGAATCATGACAACTACTATGGCAGACGACTTTTAACTAGGTACGTTCTGATAAGTTGCCCTGACAACAAGACCAAGTTGCGACAACGAGGTCAATCCTTATCTATAAATCGAAAGGAGACTGCGATCATACCAGAGGCCACAACATATTGGTCTTCATATCTTCAATTAGAAAAATGATAGCCTATAAGATGAATTTATTTTTTTTAATAGAAATATTAAATATGCTTAGCATATCAAAAAAATTTCTTGTTGTATGACAAAGCATGGTTTCTATAGATTTAGAAATGTTTTATTTGTAAAATAGTAAAACGCGATAAATTATCATTCTAAATTTAACGCATTACCGTCGATTGAGTTATGATCAATCCGATATTATTTGAAGAGGAAAATAGAATTCTCCAACGACTACTCATATGAATAGCCTTCATGTGCATTTCGTGGAGTTCACAATAGATTCAATCATTTTGGCAGGTATTCCCCTCTCAGACTATATTAAGTTAATCAAAGATGCATGCAGAATAAAAATATTTTTTTAGTTATCAGTAGTGCAGCATAAAAAAGTAATGTTTAGAAGAAAAATTATCAGTATAATGGAGACCCCGCTATACTAGGAATAAATTCCAAATATGGATATTATGTAAAACTTATGATGATGTAATTCGGCATAATATTCTGAATCGTACTATAACTAACGTATATATATATATACATATAGACATATATACATATATATAGTTAAGCACACAATTTTTTATAATTATATAATTGAAGTTTGTCTGGAATAGTGCTGCAAATTTGATATGAATTGCTTAATATATAATAGAATGAGGCTATCTGGTATATCGCACTTCATGTGAATATGGTATAAGGCAATAGTGGAAAGCATTTGTTGAGAAACATAGCGTACAAAATAAATTATTTATTGATATGCATATTATATTTAGTAAAAATAATTAATAATCATGCTTTAATCATATTTGATACTCAAAGTTCTTATAAAGTATTGCAAACTATTTTGTTAAGTGAGAATAATCCTGTAAATGGAGGTCAGGATTAATCACGAACATGATTGACAAAGATTATTTAGAAAGGAAATTAACTTCATTAATAAGAATAATAATATGCGATTCAATTTTTCCCCAATGATCTGTCTATAATGAATGAAATGAAATTAAAGCTTTCACTATAAAATTTTGCCTCAGAAGAATTACTTAAGAGTCTTCTTCAGAGTTATTAAAAACAGGCTCTAATTATTTAAGTATCTTTAAGATGGCTAAAATTTTTATAAGAGCAAAATTGATGATGAGTTATACGAAATGCAAAAATAGAGAAACTGACAGAATGAAACTTTCCTCAAAGTGTCATAAATAAACATATACCCTTGTTTTGGGTTATTTAGCGTCACGTATTCATATTTTATTTGCCTCATTATGTATTATATTGCCCCTACTCCTTTTTTTTCTATATTTACATTTATGCATTTTCCTTTTATAAGAGCTATCGATGTCCAATAACTATAAGATTTTAAATATGAGCAAACCTAACTTCAAGCGTAAGTGATCGCCAATGATAATTTCTTTAAGCATTATTTGATGAGTCGTATATTACGTTCCAACATTACATTTTATTTTAATAAATGAAGAAAGAATTTCTAACCTCCAAATCTATTCATACCATCCTATCCGAAGCTATATAACTGAGACCTGCTATATCTTGAATGTCATCTCTGATCTGTAACTAAATGCTAAGATATCGGTTCAGCTAGGGCGTGATTCAGATAAAGCACTGTTGTTTCGACCTATATGAATGGGAAAATTCAGTCTAGCGTCGAATAAAGTCAAATTTTAGGACTCAAGTGATAGTAGAATCCTACGACAAAAGTTGATATTCGATTGATTTAATTTCATGTCTGAAATCTCTTAATGAGTTCATGTGTTATTCTTACATATTTTAGTATTAAAATTTTAAATAGCTGACGAAAGCACCATAAAAATCTGTGCATATCCTTAATCCCTACCCTTAGTGCATGCATTATCATTTAGCTTATATGAGGGGGCCGATTGGATTGGTTAAAATATGCTCATAAATGAATCGATATTCTTATTTCATTGCTTGATGAGCCGTTTCTCGTTGCCAATGGTTTAGCCGGTTTGTTGTATGCAGTGGACAGGCAAGAGGCTTCTCAGATTCGTAAGTTAAAACCAAAAGAATTCAAGTAAACAGAGATATATCGTTTGTTTCTGCCTGCGCAACTTGATTACAAACGTTCGACTGACTAAAATTAATATTAATGCACTCATATTATATTCATAAATTATCACTATATGGCAACTAGCCATGCTCATATTGTAGTTATGAGTGAAAGTACCTATAATCGATAACTGCCATTCTTGGCTTTTAACTTCCTACAGTGGATGTAGCTACAATTCACGTGATAAATTGAACCTATTTATTCGATTAATTAGGGCTATCTTCCTTAAATAAATATAAATATACTTGAATAAATATAGTAATGGATATATGTTAACCACACTATTATTTTCATGAATGAGCTCAGATAATCAGGTGACAATATACTTTAGTTATCTCCAAGCGTCTTTACTACCCAAAGAATGTGAATTTTCTGGGGCAGATAGCAGGAATGTCTAATACGATTACTCAGAAAAATGGATAAGTCTATGCCTTTTGCAGCTGAATTAGAAGTGCTTTATAGAGGAATTGCAGGAAATTTTTAATTTATTAATTAGATTTAATTTAAGAATAACAAATAAACAGATTAATAATAGTGTGATTGTTTCTACTTCTAAACACTGCCTAGTTTGACTTTCTCCTACGCACTCATTATTGAGACCATTCCGGTTGCTTCTTTTGTACCTTGTTAAGCTTGCCTTGTGTATTGGTGTACATTTTTAGCATCATTTCGTAGATAAGTAATGGCAAGCCTTACCTACGGGAAGTCCCATTCGTTCATAAATAAATAGAATTTATTTTATTATGGGCGCTAGTCTGAGGTCACTTGGCAAATCGACTTTCATTCAAAAAGATTTGCAAATTCTATATTGTATAATCGAGGCTAGTGGGGGAGAGGAGGAGGACGCCAGGGGGAGAGTAAAAAGGTCACACCGAAACCAGGTTTAACAAAGTAACTAAGAAATTTTGATAGTGAAGTGATGAAGTGAAGAAGGAGAGATATCACAAATGTTCAGCGGACAAATAGTCAAAGGATCGACTTTAATTGTCTCTGGCGAGTTGTAGTTTGATGCTAAAAATGGCAAGACTCACTGATGATGCCGACTACGATGTAATAGAATGTACCAAGTTCATGGTCTGGCGCTCGGAATTATGATAACTATTAGGGCAGAGGACTTCAGACAAGGAGCGTCTAACCACGTCGCCCTGACAACAAGACCAACTTGCGAAAACGATGTTTTATGATATAATAAGAAAGTTGTCAATATAAGTGAGGTGCTTAGGGATCTTAGTGACTAAGGTTGGCGTCCAGCGAAATATTCTTTGTATGTTTTATAAAGCAAATTGAATGAGTTTGTATAACAAAAAAAACGAAATAGAATCCGTAAAGTAAATAATATTAAAATATTTATTAAAAATTAGTTTCTAAAAGTCTTTACCTCTTTTTTGAATCTTAGTCGTATTGTCATGGAGGCTAGATTAAAGCAAATTGTCCAGAGTCAATAGTATCCATGATATTTTCCAGTCTTGTGGGGTGGATTTGGTACCTTTCCAGTCGTTTCATCAGCGGGGTAGTCAGCATCTGCATTGAACCTTGTCATTTCTAACAGCACACTACAACTCATTAAGGATACGAGTGAATTCGATTATCTCACCAATCTGTTGCTAAACAGTTGTGGCATCTCTCTTTTTTCACTTCGCCCCTTCACTATTACAATTTCTCACTTGATTAGTTAAACCCGGTTCTGGTTTGGCCTTTTGAGCCGATTTAACGAGTCCCATTCACACTCCCCGCCGGTTCCCTAATCGTCTCCCCCACTCTGCCGGGAGTGCTGATTCAATTATACCACTTTAGTTTGCAATCCTCTTCCTCTAGGTCTTAACAGAATCCTTCTCTTTCCTCGTAAGCTCCGTCTCCTGTCTCTCTAGTCCGGTGATTTCAATCGATCTTCGCCCCCATATCCATGCTATTCGAGGCGCCATTTCACACAATTTTGTTCAATATTAGGGTTTTGAGACTACCAGTAAATCAGTTATATGAGATGCATTCAACAAACTCTGCCTCAAGCCTCACTGTGCAGGCCCTCAAAGTGTGGATTTCCAGACTGGATTGGAAACTAACTTGACGTTACAGATTTTCTTACAACTGTTCAGCCTTTGCTTCACAAATTCCATTCATGAACAAATCTGTGCACGGTGAGCCAACTAACTCTCGTCTTGGACACATCTTTTGCGCTTCTATCCATACCACCATGTTCATGACTTTCTTATGCCCCAGTCTTGTGTGTTGTGGAAACTTTAATTTCTTATGGAAGCGCATGATTAAGAGATTCTTGGGTAATTCTGACCAGAAGACGCCGGCTGATTTGCATTGTACTGAAGTCGTTTGGTACCAATACGACGTTCTGGCTGATGCAGTCCACGAGACATCCTCCAACGTCTCGGCAAAGATGTGCTGAGCCCTCGTTCGTCATGCTACATGATGAACACCGTCAGATTTGAGACTTAATCTTGCAAGAGCCTTAAGGCTTTCATACAAAATGAAAGTCTTTACATCAACCTTATCTAAGGAAACTCCTAGAAACCCGTATTTTCTTTGTATATTAGTATCGTGGGTGCCAGACCCCAAATGCTATGATTATTTAACTTCAATTAGTTTCAATGTATACTAATTTTCTTAGCCTTTGTTATTTTATTGGACTTTCGATTTCCTTTCCTCATGTATAAAATATTTTCTTGATTTAGGCATTTTCTTATTGCTGACCTTGCTATTCCCCAACCTGTCCGAGTTTGCTTAAGCGATATGCAAAGTTTTGCCAGTTTTATCTCCAATCAAGTGTCCTGTTGATGAGATTTCTTTTAGTCAAGATATCGATGGCATCTAAAATTTGCGTGTTTTCAGATTTGCATCACATGCGACCGGGCTTTCTGACAATTCCCAGTCGATTTCCTGTGAGCTTTCTCAGATCTTTATGTATCTATGTTTTTGCAGAGTTTTTGATGTTCCAGGAAGGAATATGAATAGGTCTCACTAATTTATCTCAAAAGGCCATCCGTGAACTAGATTTAAATATACAAGCAAGGAATCGTGAAATGGAAAGGGGTAATAAGGGGATTTAAAAGAAGTGAATACACCAGGACAGGAGGAAAAGTACCACAACTATTCAGGCGATATTCGACCAAAGAATCGACTTTCCTTGTCTCTTTTTCGCTAAGACTGGCAAGGCGCCTTTACGTTATCGGCGAAACGTCTGAGAATGTACCAAGTCCACGGTTTGATACTGACGATTCTCATGCATACTATGGGCTCTAGACAATGTGCGTTCATATATGCCGCACTGACACAAAGATCCTGCTGCGGAGCCGAGGTCAAACTACTTCTATACAACGAAAGAAAACTTTGGCAAAATTTGGTTAAAACTAATTCTATTTGTTAGTACGCAAGGCCATTCTGGGGTTAAAACCTTAAAATTGTTTGCGGATGTTCAATTGAGAGCTGAATAAAGTAGCGTTTTCGTAGTTTGTGCGTTAATATTAGATATGTAGTTCAAAAAATGGAAGATTTCTCCTAGATTCCTCGTAGCTTAATTAGTAATAATTCTAATTCTTATCATACAAGTTATAAATGCTAATTTTTTAATAATATTGGTTTAAAAATCCTTACATGATCTAAACATTCTCCGAATTCTTAATGATATTTCGAGTCCATCTTATCTAAACTAAATAATATTTAAGACAATAAACAATGTAACTCACTAACTTATGTACAAATCGTGCCAAAATTGACACAAATTCATTAATTATGAATAAGTTAAGTAGAACAATCTAAGCTCAGCCAAGATTATAAGGAATACATTTCTTTCCAATGGCAATGACTGTCCAAAATTCCAAGATTGCAGAGAAGTACAAAGACTCAAATAAAATAATCAGAGTAGCCAAATATCTCTGTCAGAGGCCCATAGCCTATCTTATATCGTCTCAACAGCAAGTAGATAGAATAAACACCTGTAAAAGCGCAAACATTATTGGTGTATTATAGAGTATATATTTATATGTAGCCTTTCCTGATTACCAGTATATTTCACATAAATATTGTAATATTTGTCTGACTGAATTGAAGTCAAAGTCACATAAGTACCACCAATCATGAAGATAATTTTACAAAAAAATGAAAAGTGAATAAAATCTAATTTTCCCAATTAGCCAGGCCTCATTTTTTATATACATCTCCCATTTACGGTTGATTACAAGAATTCGAATTCAGATCTATTAGTGGCAAGTGTAATATGTGATTCAGCGTCCATATAGGATATTTAAAGCTATGCATAGAAGTCTTAATTGATTATCATGCAGAAAATTCCCGTTTGATGTCTGACATTAAAATTATATGTTACTCGCGAGTAAATTGTTGCTTTTAGCTAAACTTATGGATGCTTTGACTATCCCCATGCCAACAGCATAGGTTGTAGGGTTAACGAAAAAAATTGGTCGAAGATTTGAAGACCAAAATGGTGCGGACTTTTGTGTGGTCGCAGTCTCCTTTCGTTGTATAAAAGTTCTTTGACATTGTTTTCGCAACTGGGTCATTTTGATAGGAAGACCTAGTCCGGAATCATTGTACGCATGATAATTCCACAGTCGGACCATAGACATGGTACATTCCCAGACGTTTCGCCGGCATCGTAGTCGACATCTTCAGTGAGTATTGCCAGTCTTAGCAACACACTACAACTTGTCAAAGAGACAAGTGAAGCCGCTCCTTTGACCAATTGTGGGCTAAACAGTTGTGGTACCTATTCTTTTGTTCTGGGCTATTCACCTTTCCTATATCCTCAGATCACGCCTTCACTATGACTATTTTTTCCCATGCTTATTTAAATGTAGTGTGGTATGCCGTTTTGAGCCTCTTTCATTTATCAACTTTGAACCTAATCAAGACAAGCAGTATTACAATATTTGTGGTGTATGTAGCAAAGGCTTGACGATAAGAATTACTCGGCGTCTTACGCCTCAAGTTAGTCTCCCAGAAACAGAGTGTAGGAAATAACGCCTCGAGTAGCAAAGATCGGCTGGCAGGGGTCGAGTGAAATACTTGAACCAGGGAGAGAGCAGACGGATTCTACGGGGTAAGAGGGAGACTGCGACAAGACTTAGGGAAGGAGGATTGCGTAACAATATGGCAGACTTTGATCAAAATTCCCAGCACAAAGGTGAAGGGGGATGAGAACGCCAGCGTGGGGTGTGAAGGGTTCCCATGAAAGCCGCTCAAGGGGGCACATCATACCACATTTAAATAAGCAAGAAAAAAAACGTGTAATAAGAGGATATAGGAAAGGCGAATAGCCCAGGACACAAGGAACATCTTACGAGTTTCTTTTCCTAAATACTTGTTGAAAAGTGAATTTGCTGACAAGTGAATTTGGATTACATGAAAGGTGCCAGTAAAAGGAAAATAAAACGAATTCGTCTACCCCTAAATTGGATATATTTTTCATCCTGAAATCTTGCCGCATGTGAATGTGTGCCATTACACAACTATTTAGCGCATGTTTGGTAAAAAGGATCGGCTTCATTTGTCTATCCGACGAGTTGAGGGTGTTGCTAAGACTGGCAAGACTTACTGACGATGCCGACGAAACGTCTTGGAATGTACCACATCCACGGTCCTACTCTGGAAATGATTATGCATACAATGTGACCACGTTGCAAAAAGAAAGTCAAACAACTTCAAAATAAATTGGTGTTGGAATACTTTTCAGTTAATTCGAAAAGGCGACTGAAAGGGATGCGTAAGTTGGTATCACCGGGAGTCACAGTGCGTGTTGCTTTAAAGCCATGACTGTGGATTTGTGTGAATCAGTCCACGGTCCACCGTTCCGTGACCTTATGAATCTTTGTTTAATTTTCGTCTGTCATATGGCGAACATCGTCTGAGCAGGACTCTGTGTTTTACAATAATTCAATGAATAGTAAGACAAGAAATGTGGCCAGTTGCAATCCCACCTACTTCTTATAAGCTAACTTGACTTATTTAATGGAACATCTCACGATTTTCTTTTCCCACATACTTGTTGAAAAGTGAAGTTGCTGACACGTGAAGTTGGATTACATGAAAAGTTCCAGTAAATGGAAAATGAAACAGATTCGTCCTCCCTTAAATCGCGTACATTTTTTGTCCTGAAATCTTGCCACATGTGAATGTGTGCCATTACAAATGTGTTGTATGCATACAACGCTGGTGAGATTCATGGGATGTGAAATTGAAAACCAGTTTCGTGGCTACTAAAGTCTTTGCCTCTTTCTCTGAGGTAGTCCTTGTTCCCTCTCAGCAAGGATGGTTAATCGAGGATTTATTTACCCAAATCTATAATCATAGCTCTACGGCAGTCCCTTCCAATGGCCACTTTAATCGTAATCAAAGTACCCCAACAGAAATCTACTAAGAGCTTCTTTGAAAACCACTTTTTCTAGATCTTTCAAAGGAAATTAATCTTTTTCTACTAATGTATTATTGTGGATTAGCATGTCTAGACTAGCTTTTCTGTCTCACCTCCATAAACAATTTGAGCTCTTTCCTGGCGCTATTAGGCTAAGTTGAGATGACTGTTTAACAGAGTGACATTATTTTTCTCTGTTCGAACAACTCAACTGTATCAAACGAGCAAATGACGCTTGCATGAATGATGATTGGTCATGAAATATTAATTGGCCTCTCTTCTAAGAATGTATTGAAATATAAAACTTAACTGATGAGGCAGTTCTTGCCGTAGTTGAATCACAATATGATATTTTACCCCTTCTTGAAATTTAAACATATAATAATACACGGTGCATAAGCCAGAGTGCAAATCCAAATTTTTCAGTGACCTGAAATTTCTTTCATCAAGTGATTAACAAGTGTTTACAAAAACCCCAAAGTAATGACCATATGCTTTAATAGACAAGATCATAGGATGTAGCTCGGAACTTGCAAGATTTCCTATAATAAAGCCTCTGTGCTGAGGTTGCCTCAAAATTATGTTAATTGTATATAAACTGAAAGAAGTGATGACTGAATTCAAACTGCTAAAGTGAAGAAACGAGTGTAAAAATGAATAATATATCGTTTTTAATTCCATGAATTTCTTATTCGAAAGTCTACTGGAAATATCCAACAAGTTATGCATTCTAACAGAGTTGTTTCCTATCCGTTCTTTGGATGGAAGATTTCGCTCAATAAAAAAGTTAAGCTGAAAAAGCCTCACTTAAAATAAAGTTAATTCTTTGTGAGGCATTTTTGTAAGGTTTATAAAGATTGATTATAAAGATTTTATTTTGTATTATTATTAATATAATAATATTAATATTGCCTGCATGCTAGCAGATGACCTCCAAATCTTCGGTCCACTAGTTTGTTTTCAAGTTTGAGGGAACCGATTGGGTTAAATGAGTCAATATTAGGAAATATTCAGCAATTTTT